AGTTGTAGCCATGGTTCGAAATCTTCCCGCTAAAACTCTAGCCATATTTTATTGTATCCACGAGTCTCATTGAAAAAACGAGCAAGCTCCGTGCCGATATTGCCACCCGAAGCCTAATACGTGGAAAAATTGGGAAGGGGAGTCGAGCCTTGTAAGAAAATCTTAGAATTGCTTTTATGGCTTATTTCCCTTGTTGATATACAAGAATCATTTGCGATAGCTTTGTCTTCCTTCAACCAAGCAAGGGGAGGAAGGTATAGATTTGCTCTTTGTAGTTAGCTTGTAGTAGCTCAACGGTCCAACATTCATTGGGTTTCATAATTTCTTCCAGCAGTTATCACGTAGAGCATCTAGAAAGAAATGCGGTTGTTATATTCAGCATAAGAGCTATTTATCTAAAATACTAATTAAAGATGTGTAGCATTTTCACGTACGTATATCACAATTAGTTGTGAATTAGAGAATTGCTTCATCTACTTTAAATCAAGTGTAGAACCTATGCTATCCGGTGTGAGTTTTTATGCTATCGTATGTACCCAAATTAAACTCCTAAACTCCTATAACATAAATATAGTAAGGGAGAGTAGGGATCAATCCCATGAGGAATTCAATCGTGTTAGTCGTCACAAGTCTAGAGAAACATGAAATAAATAAAAAAATTGAGGTTTTGATTTGATTGAGATATAAGTGAAATTAAACAAATTAAATTCAGAAAATGAGTTTAGAGTAAATATTCAAGTAAACAAAACCTTGGTTCGGGTAACATCCACTTTTGGAACTTGAGATTTATCCTTAGTGCACGAAATATCGATTTTCATTCAAATATTTGTTGTGATATTGAAATCAATCTTTTCTTACGATTAGCCAACTAGAAACACGTATTCTAATCAACCTTCATTATTTAACAACCCTAGATACAATCTAAGATTTAATCAAATAATGGCTTTATGTATTAAAAAGATCAACAAAGCAAGATAACACAACACATGTAGTTGTATTTAATCTAGTTGAACAAACCTCCTAAAAGTCATTAGTTTCTAACGCAACAAACCATACACTCCTAGTTGCTACACAAATCAAAGGGATTGAACAATTATGGATTCAATATTCGATCTAGCTATAGATTATTTAAGCTAATAAACTAACTGTACACATTAGAAATTAACCCAAATAATCATGAAAATAAGCATAGAAGAAAGTTCAATACTTGAAATAAATAAAGCTGATTTACATTAATGTTTAAGCACCTCAAAATCTTTGATTTCCAAAAGCTTCGATTACCTTCACCAAGGAGAAGAGTCTAGCTGCTCATGGCGACCACCATAGCTGAGAGAGAGAGAGAGATAGAATAAGGTCGCCTCCTATGAGAATAATACCTAAAAGTTTTTTGTCCTAGTCTGCTAGGTTTCTATTTATACAAGGTGTCTATTTCCCAAAAAGGATACATAATATTCTCTCCTCTTTTGGTAGACTTGTGTCTTTTTCGACAAATCATGCAAGTTTTGTTTCTTTCTGCAGTTTGTTGTTTGTTTCGCGATTTCAACGTGCCCGCGTCAAGTTGCAATGTGCCGCGCCTTCGGGTCCTTGTGCTTCTATGTCTCATCGTATTAGCGTGGCCACGCTAATAAACTTAACGTGCCCACGCTTCTTGTGTTTTCCGATGGTCGAATTGGCTCTAATCGTAAATTCTCTTTATATAACTCTTTTAAAACCATTTTTCAATCAGTTCCACACCTAGCACATAGAATACAAAAGGCACTTAAGTTTTATCATTTAGACATCTCAAAATAGTAAAATGTAGGGGAATTTAGCAATTCAAACATATGTTTTAAGCATTATCACTATCAATTGTTATTATTTATCGATTTATCTATCGACTATTATCTATCAAGTTTTGTGCAATGAAAAGGAAGGTATTAATTCGAGTTACTCTTAAAATTTTGCAAACAATAAATTATCTTGAATGTTACCTTTAAATTTAATAAAGTCGCGAGTAGTAGATAAAAGAATCGACAAATTCGAATAATTAATTGTACCATACGAGTCTTGGAATAAAATGCACTAAAGTATAAAAAAATAAATAAAAGGTCATCTTGCTTTGGAATCCGTTTACGAAGAATCTTGTGACCAAGAAATCCATGTTACACATTATTGTTTGACATCCAAAAGTTATAAATTGTTAATATTAAGAAAAAAAACAACAAGTTAGTTGCATATCCACTATAAATGCATGAAATATATTAAACTAAATAGAAAAAAATATAATTAGCATTATTTTGACGAACAAGTTCGACGATCATGACCCGTTTATTTACACAATCCACAATGTATTATGGCTCGTCCATCTCATTCCGAATGTGAGTGGATTTTGGCCTTACTTTTTCTTTCGTCGACGACTTCGGATATAATCATTGAATGCTAGTTTCTTGCCAATCTTGATGAATAATAGGATGAAACCGTGACGCCCATGTATGAAAATACTCTTGTATACTATAACACTTATCAATAAATTACCAACTATTAATAGCCAATCTTCCGCACTACTTGCTAATACATGAGAGCATGAAATTTTATAGATTTGCCATTTACCATTATCTAGGTGAACAACTTGTTTATTATGACCTCGTTGCATTCATTCCCCATGAGGTGCTTGTTATTATTTCAAACATTCCTATATTCTCATTAAATGGAATGAGTTGATGTGCTTAGCCACGCTTAGCTTTGCTAGGATATGAGGAGCATAAGGTTTTCCTTCGTCAATAGCTTCTTTTGAAAATTTTTGTCTATCATTAAAGTAATTTATCGGTAGATAAAATGTCGGTTGATGGGCAAATTTCGAGCTCCTTTTAATACACTATTGAATACTTCGGATAAATTAATTATCATCACTCTATATCGTTTATCTCCATCATATACTAATGTCCATTTCTCTTGAAGAATTTCTTCTAGCCATTTTCGAGCCTCGAAATTAGATTTTTCAATCTTGTCCATAATAGCATTAAACTTCCTCGACCGATGTGCACTCTCAATAAAAACAAGAGAATTTAGAAAAGTACCTTAATTGACAATAGACATATGCTAAATAATTTTTTTTCCGTAATTGTGGTTTTGAATTGTGAGAGTATTTGAACTTTAAGAAATTAGAGCAAAGACAACAAAAGAGAGAAAGAGAACGTAAATTATTTTTTCTTTTATATTTCTAATTTTTTTAAATTATTATATTAAATATATATTATAACACTTAATAAAAAAAAAGATATGGATGCTTACATGGCAAAACTATTCTTTTTTCATAAATAAGATTTAAAATATCTTATTTTAAAAAAATAAATTAAAAAATACCGTATTTTGAAAAAAAAAAACTCCTAAGAAGAATGTTTGGAATAAAAAAAATATCTATCTCATTTCTACTTTGGATATCTATATGACCAAAGAAAATTGTTCAAGTGACTAATTTCTTTGGTTGCTGACAATACATTATTAGGGTAGGCTAAGCTAAGCTGACACGTACTTCTACTAATTATTGTATATTATTTTTTTTCATTATCTTTTCATAAGTCAAGTAGGCGAAAGTGTGGACAAAGAAGACGATACTGTTCTGATAAATATCGTTTCCTTCTACCTTACTCTTGAACTTTTTTGCTGTTGGGATTAGGTTAAACAATCCTTCATGAAAATGATCTGATTCTACTTGTCAGAATGTTATTCTATCTTTCTATATGATTTCAAATGTCTATCGTACAAAAGTCAACAAATATGACTTTTTTATACTATTTTATTCATTAGTTTGACGAATGTGTCAGCAAATAAATTACTTCCATCCGAGTAAAAGAGATCGTTTTGGTTTTCTATTTTTATTTGTCTTAAAATAATTATCTAATCCAAATATTAAGTTAAGTATTTTTCTATAGTATTCATAATTAATGTCTATTTTGCAAGAAATTTAATATTGAAAATGAGTATTTTAGAAAAGTGTATAAATACAAAAATGATAATATATGGTACATCAATTAATGACTTTTTTAATCTATATAAATATTCAAACATGGTAATATTTATCTATTTTCTTACTGTATTCTAATTAAAATCTATTTTGTAAGAAGTTTATCTTTGAAAAACAGTGTTTTAAAAAATATAAATATGGAATAATGATAATATGATATATTAATAAATAACTTTCTTATTTTATATGAAAATTTAAACATGATGATATTTATGTATTTTCTTATAGTATCCTAATTAAAATATATTTCTATAAAAAAATCTAGATAAATCAATTAATAGCTATTTAATATCAAAATTCAAACATGATAATCCTTTTTAGAACAAACAGACTGCATTAATCTTCTTTGATTCAATTCTTTTTTTTTTTTGGGTTCTTAAATCAAGTAACGAATCAGTTTGAATTTGGCTTTGCGTAAGCTAATCTTTCGAAACAAAATATCTTTTACCTACCCATCAGACATATGACGTGGTAACTTGCAACCTCAACAAAGAGGCAATCTACTCGTTTTGAGCATATTTATGTCATCAACTCTATCCAGCCAAGAACAAAGACACAGGCAGAGATCCTTCGGAGGTTTGGAACAAATCTGTTACTGTTTTGTTTTTGTTTTGTTTTGTCTTGTCATGTGCGCTTCCGGCCCTCTACACATCCACTTCTCTTGCAAGTTCAAACCTTTTTAAAACCTCTAAAAAGCAAACAACAAAAAAAAGCGAAAAAAGCAAGGCATCTTCCTCTCTTTCCTCCAAGAAAACAAAGTCATTCCCCACAAGTAATATTCAATAGTACAGGAAAAAGAACCAAGACTAGAAAAAGAAGGGAAATTTCCTTCTCAATCTTTAAGAGCACTTAAGCAGATCTCCATTAGCATTAGCAACCAATCAAGGATTAAGCAATGGCTGAGTTACTCATTTCCTCCATGAACTCTCCCTCTCTCCCTCTAGCTTTCATATTCTAATCCTGAGCTCATTTTCTCTCCATTTTTTAAGCTCATCATATGAATCTTGCTAACCCATTTGTGTCTCGTTTTGACAGATCTGATGCATACCCAAAAGACTCATATTACAGCGAAAGCATGAGTACAAGAGTTGCCTCGTCTTCAACAACCAGCGTGCACGTGACAGCCCTTGATGGCCTAGTGAATGTGAACTCTCTTTTTACAATCGCCGTCTTTGTTGGTCTATCCCTTACAACCCCAAATCAACACAGCCTCGAAAACCGCACATCCTGCGACGCAAGCATCGACGTGGCCAAGAATCTACTAGTTTTCGAGGTTGTGTCCTTCAGTTTCTTCCTCTTTTCTTCTCTGGTAGCACAGGGTCTGAAACTGGCTATCAATTTGTTGAACAGTAAAGACGTGGATGAGGCTTTCAGGGCACACATTAATTTGAGGGTTTTGAGGTTCGGGATGATGGGATCGGCTATTGGGTCGGTTATGGGTTGTGTGTTTTTGGTTCTTTCAATAGTTAATGTGATTGAGATTCGGTTGGGTATGTTGTCTTGTGGGAGTAAGAGTGCTGTTCATGCTGTGACTGCTTTGGTTCTTTTAGTTTCTTCTGCTCTCTTGGTTTATATTTCCACTGCTGTTTATGCTTTTCTCCACTGATAGATAGATTGTTTAGCTTCATGAAAGTGGCATCAACTTGTGAACTTCTAAGAGAAAATTAAATGTTTGTGGTTGAGGAGAATTTCTCAATTTTTAGCCCTTGCTTTGCTATTGATGAATGTGGCTTGCTGAATGCTAATATTGTTGTGGGCATAGTTTGATGGATAATTGATAAGGCCTTAACAGCTTAAAGATCTTGACAACTTGGGAATTTTGCATCCACTTGAAGAACGGTATTTTAGTTACTTGGTTAAGCTCAATTTGATTGAAATTTCACTTTCTATAGGAAAGAAAAATAGCTCAATCTACCAACTTACAGTTAATTAGACCATTGTTAACCAAGTCTGATAATTTATTTAATACTTTTTGTCAACAATATGGAATCTAAATCCAGTTCCTTAAGAAGCGTGGTACTAGTTAGACCATTGCTTTGCCCACTTTTGAACATATGTTTTGTCTATGCCGCAGCTACCTATTACTTCATCTATCAAATCTTTCTATTGCTTTGAATGGCTGTCTTGTAGTCTCTGCAGGTATGTTTATTTTGGCTCCATGAGGACTGAGGAGCAACCGCGGGTTGCTACCGAGAAGATAGCGAGATGGCAGTTTTGTTCCTAAAAAGATTGTGTTGAAATTGCTTCTGTTGCTTATCTATATTCGAAAAAATCTTGCTATTTGTTTGAATCCTACAGCCCCGGCTTCCAAAAACTGGCAAAGCTCTGCATATGGGCATACAATGTTTTCAAATCCCTTCTTCATTTTATCTCTGTCTATTTCAGATACTAAAGCCATGGAGTGATGGAGGATAGAATCACATTCTATGAAAAACTGTGAGTGTGATTGCACCTGCTGCTAAATCATGTGAGAAATCACTTTGAACCCTGACTATGACGTATAGCTTTTCATAGACTAGTAGTTTTCCAAAGTCGCTCTCAAGGGGAGGGATAATGTCGTCTTAGCCTTCTTTTTGCAACTTGCATAACTCTTCCTTAACTTTGTTATCTATGAATGCTTATCTATATACCTTCAGCTTCCTAGCTCTGTTTCCATCTTACATATTGAAAGAAAAACAAAATCGTAACTTCTGTTCTCGCCGCTGCTATCACCATGTTTTGATCTTTCTCTTACTCTCAGCCTGAGGAAAGAGGTGATGAAAGTGATATCCTTACGATTAAGTCTATCTTTTTCGCCCTTTTAAAGACGGATCATCTTAGCTAAAACTACAAGATTTATGAAATTTTTTATTTTCTTCCACATAATTTAACCTGAGATTTGAATCATTATTGAAGAAAACAATCTCCTTAGCCTAGCCATTTGTCCAACTAAATCAATCATTGAGATATCATTGTCTTTAGTTTTTAATTAATTTTTTTTTTCAAAAAACTGCAAATGTTATCTAATTTTGGAATTTTCTATTTTAATACTCAATCTAAGGTGATATTACACTCCACTCTTGGTTAACCACATTCCCACTAATTCATTTTTTTTCAAATGACTAAAATATCATGAAAAATGGTTCAGGAGTCTCAGAATGAAATCAAAATAATTCATTAGAATCAACAATGCATGTCCCCATCTTCGTGTCCATCACCTCCGCATCAACTCACTTGCTGCCATCTCGACCAACCATCTCCGCCACTGGTCATTAAGACCTCAACCCAACTCCCTCTAAATGCTCTTCTTGAAATAGTCTCATTATTACCGTTCCTCAGTTTAATTTATCCATAAAAATTAATCAAATAAATTAGCTAATTTATTATTATATGTTAATCTATGTTATTTTTCTTAAATTTTTAATATGAACCCAAACTACACCACTAACAGATTGAGCTGAGAATGAGCTTTGTGCAAAGTCATAGGTTGTAAGGGTGGACATGGGTGTTACTGCCGGAGATAATGTCCATGCATTGTCTTTGTGATATATTAAAGAGATTGATTGGGTAGATTCGAAAAAAAAAAAATTAATTATTCAAGTCAAATCGATCATTTAAACTTAGATGATGTGACATGATCCTTGTGATCAAGGGTCATTCTCTTTCATTACAAATACCAACCTCACTTCATTGTGAGGGGATAAGAACTTTTGCATTAGAAAATTTTTGACTTCAAAACTTTTAATCTCTAGTAAAAAAATAAAAATAAAAATAAAAAGAACTCTTGAACTTTTTATCTCAAATCTCTTCCACTCACACACCAAAGAACACCTAAAGCTTCACTTATTTGAACTATGACTATCCATTTGTTCGTTACATGACTTACGATTTGCTAGCGTTATCTACCCCTTCTCTCATACCTTTTAATATTTGCATTCTTTATGTTTGGTTGGTTGATTGTTACTTTTATAAGTCACGACACTAATTTTTGCATCTTGAGTATCTTGTTAACTAGTCATCCGATTAGTTTTTAAGAACCTCCCTCTATATTCGACAACTCTACTAGGAGTTAGTGTTTGTGAAGAACAATGGCCTCCTCCAAGACAATCAAGAATAACAATAATTTTGCTACCAACTTTACTATCCTCAACAATAATGATATCCCGCATAATACTAATAAACAATGCTGATAATGCCGAGCTTGCTTAATACGGAGAATGTCAACAACCTTTCAAATTCTCAAATTAGTAGTGGCAACTTATCGGCACTACTAACACCATTAGGAGGTGGCCTTGCTTGACCTGTTGCTCAAGCTCCTACTAAGATTGTTTCAAATTCGGGTATTTAGGTCGGGACCAAATTGTTGAAGATTTTTTAAGATGCTTAGCTCTAACTATAGTAAGAGCAAGTCTTTTAAGACGATATTGTTGTATTTACCCAAGCTCTTAATAACATCACACAACTATTGTCTATAGATGGAATCCCTAGATCGTTATTCCTCAAATTATGACACAATTAATTATTATTGTTGATGACCATCTAATGCTTGTTTGTTCAACTAGATGATAAGACATGTATTTTTTCATTAAATAACCATCGTAAAAGCTGTATATAACCATCACCCACCTCATTATGTTATTGTTTCTAGTAGTCAACACCACTATTTTATTGAGGAGGACTTAGAAAAGTTCTTCGAACAAAAGTTGGTAAAATCTATTATTGAGTTTGATATTAAACTTTCTTACCCAACTCATATTGTGGGGAGGTCCTATTTGAAAAAATATGTGAGTCCTAAGTTTAAAGTCTTCGATGAAAAATAAGGACATGCTAAGGAGCGTCTTATGAAGTTTGTAGAGATCTTGAGTGTTTATGGATTGGATGATGATTTGAATTTGAAAGAATTTTCTAAGTCTCCGATCGAAACATGGTATGTAAACTTAGCCCTAGTTACGTCCAGGCTTGAACAAACATATGCAAAATGTTTACTAAAAAGTGTTTCTCTATTAATAAAAACGTGACCATGTTCGATTTAAGAGGAGAATGTCAAAGTTCTAGAGAAGATTTGTTGGAATACATTGAGTGGTTTAGAAACCGTTCTTTAAACATCTAAGAGGGTTTTAATGAAAAGAAAGTTGTAAAGCTATCTATCTAGGGTATGTCTAGAGAATACACAATATATCTTAAGAATTTAGGTTTGATCATTTTTTCAATCTTAGTAGAAAGCGCTCGTCGGACTAATAACTTCATTGTCATTTCTAGAAGAAATGACTTAATTCTTATTGTTATTAATGGTAAGAAGGGTTCTTCAATCAATGTCATCCGGTTAGATGAGTGAGCTAATAGAACCACATAAGAAGCGAATATGGAAATAAATCCACAACCATGTTTTTCTTATACCATGGATATGTTATATATACTTTGTTAGACCAATAGATGGATGATCAAGTTGTTACCCTCTTATGGGTGAAAAAGCTCTCATCTTAAGAAGACAAAGAAAAACTCAAATATTGTCGATATCATAGATATGTGGGACTTTTCAAAGAAAATTATCGAAACTTGAGATTTTTATTTCATGACAAGCTAAGTAAAGAAGAGATTGTTTTTTTAATAATGAAGATGGTGTTACGAGAAAACCCCTCCTCACAACACCAAAATTGCAACAACAACCAAGTTAATGCCATTTTTCATAATCCAGTTGAGTAAGGAAAAGAAGAGTTTAACTTACATGTTTAGTAAGTTGCTCTCAACCACATCATATGTCATATGAACGAATTAGACGAGATTGATAGCTATATTACATATTTTTTGCTAAGACTCTTAAATTTCACTAATAAACTTGTTCTTGACTTTTGTAATTTATGAGTATTTCTTCCAAATTAAAAAAAAAAATCCTTGAAGATTGGTTTCACCTTATGGTTAAAAGATTGTTTAATATTTATTTAAAAAAAAAAATCTATGTACTTGACACTTCAAAAAAGTAAAATATATATGTGTGTGTGTGTGTGTGAGGTCAAGCTATGTCCTAGCCAAGCTATGAGTATTTTATACTCATTTTTTTTCTTTTGATGGCAACGTCATGTCTAGCTAGTCAAGCTGTACACTCGATCGGGTTGTGAGTATTTCGTACTTTTTTTCTCAATGTCACGCTATATTCATCTAGACAAGTTGCACATTGGCCGAGCTATGAGTATTTCATACTCATTTTTTACTTTCTAATGGCAATGCCATGTTCATTTAGTAAGATACACACTTGGTCGATTGTGAGTATTTCATACTCAATTTTTCTTTTTGATGGCAATGCCAAGTTCATCGCAGTCGAGTTGTGGATTGGCCGGAATGTGATTATTTTATACTTATTTTTTTTCAATGGCAATGTCAAGTTCATCTAGCTAAGTTACATGTTGCCAAACTATAAGCATTTCATACTTAGTTTTTTCATTCGATGGCAATATCATGTTCATTTGCCTAAGCTGCAACATCTTTGCCAAACTATAAGCGAGTTCATACTTAGTTTTTCATTCTAATGGCAACATCATGTTCATTTGCCTAAGTTGGAAGTCGGCTAGGTTATGAATATTTCATACTCATTTTTTTATGACAACTTCATGTTCATTTGACCCGACCATG